TGTGTGTGCTGACATGTTACAGGGATAACAGCTAGGGTCACATAACAATGTGTGTATAAATTTTTGTATGAGAAACTAACTTGAGCTGTAATCTTTCACTTAAAGCACAATTAAAAAAAAAAGATATAAAATTGCAAAGTTAGCTCAAATTGTCTAATGGAATTTCCACTTGTGCCTAAGATAAACTAACGGACTGGATTTACCCTCACACCTGAAACAACAAAAAAGTTGGCAGAATAGATAAAACAGTGATTTTCAAGACTTTGAACAATAAGCATTAAAGGAGAGTGATTTCTGAGAGACAGTAAACAAACGAGGTGAGCCCTGCAATTACCCCATTTTACTGCCTGGAAAGACATCACAGACCACAGCACAGGAAGGGAAAACCCGGTAGAGCCCAGCGGGCTCCCTAAGTTGAGGACATGGAGCTAGGAGTCTGGGAAGGTCAAGGCAGTTAGGACAGACTATTAGAATGCAGAGAGCTGTAGAGAGAGAGCTCGCGCAGTGGAGATACGCAGGGGATCCCCCTTAAGCCTTCTGTTAATACCCATCAGTACATGGGTGTGAGAAAACAACCCAAGGCTGAGGGAAGAACTACCCAGAAGAATTAGAGGAAACAGTCTTAGAAGCTCACACATAACCAGGGGCAACTCCTGTTCACATCACCCAGAATGGAGAGCATCATAATTCACAGGGCCCCGAGTAGAGTACTCAGAAAGGTTTTGCCTCCATGTTGTTGGTTATTAATTGCTGTCAAGTCAGCTTGAACTCATGGCAACCCGTGTACAGCAAACTGAGACGTTGCCCAGTCCTGGACCATCTTCATGATCATTGGTGTGTTTGAGTCCACTGTTGAGTGCCTTCCAACCTAGGGGGCACATCTTCCAGCACGACACCGGACAGTATTCTGCTGTGATCCGTAGGGTATTCACTGGCTAATTTTTGGAAGTAGATCTCCAGGTGTTTGTTTCTAGCCTTAGTCTGGAAGCTCGCTGATACCTGTCTACCATAGGTGACGCTGCTGGTATTTGAAATATTGGTGGCATAGCTTCCAGCATCACAGCAACGTGCAAGACACCACAGTATGACAAACTGACAGATAAGTGGTTGTTTGCCTCAGTTTAAAAAAAAAGAGTGGAACTGTCCCGTAGGGTTTCCAAGGCTGTAATCTTTATGGAAGCAGACTGCCATATTTTTCTCCTGGCGTAGCAGCTGGTGAGTTTGAACGCCGACCTTTTGGTTTGCAACCAACTACTTAACCACCAGGGTCCCTTTGCCTCAATAAACCAAAAAGAAAAACAACCTATTGCTGTTTAGTTGATTCTGACTCATAGCAACCCTATAGAACAGAGTAGAACTGCCCCATAGGGTTTCCAAGGAGCGGCTGGTGGATTCGAACTGCCAACCTTTTTGGTTAGCTGCCGAGCTCTTAACACTGTGCCACTAGGGCTCATTTGCCTCAGTAGTGGGGCAAAATTAACCAGAGACTAAAAGCATCTTCCACCACCTATCTGTCAGTTTGTCATACGATGGTGGCTTACAGGTTACTATGATTTTGGAAGCTGTGCCGCCGGTATTTCAAATACTAGCAGGATTATCCATGGCAGACTGGTTTCAGCAGAGCTTCCATGCTAAGACAGACTCGAAGAAAAGGCTGGCAATCTACTTCCAAAAGTTAGCAATTGAAAACCTTATGGTGCACACCAGAACATTGTCTGACTCGCTTGGTTTGGACACATCATCAGGAGGGATCAATTACTGGAGGAGGATGTCATGTTTGGTGAAGTAAAAGGCCAACAAGGGTAAGGGAGACCCTTGGTGAGATGGATTGACACAGCAGCCACAATGGTGGACTGTGAAGATGATGCAGGACTGGGCAGTGTTCTGTTGTACATGGGAGTCAACTTGCTGGCAGCTAACAACAACAAATGCAGCTTTGGTACCGCCTACCAAAGCCTAAAACAGCAAGATCCAGAAGGCTCATGCTGTTTCCAGGTAACTTAACTGTCTGCCAGAATAAGACTCAATAATACAGGAATACAAATATATATATATATATATATATATAGGACTACAAAAATATCCAGCACCATACAAAGTAAAATCAAAGCATCTGGTATCCAGTCAAAAATTACCACTCATGCAAACAAGCAGGAAAATACCACGCATAATGAGAACATCTATCAAGTGAAACTGACCCAGAAATGACACCGATAATGAAATTAGTAGACAAGAACATCAGAACACTTACGACTATTTTGTATGTTCAAACATGAGGAAATTGAGGATTTTTACCAACTTCTGCCATCTGAAGTTGATCAAACTTGCAATCAACATGCATTGATAATTACTGGTGATTGGAATATGAATGTTGGAAACAAAGAAGAAGAATTTATAGTTGGAAAATATGGCACTGGTAATAGAAATGACACCAGAAATCGCATGGTAGAGTTTTGCAAGACCAAGGACTCAGTCATTGCAAATACCTTTATTCAACAACATAAACAGCAGCAATACACGTGTACCTCACCGGATGGACAACGCAGGAATCAAATCAACTGCATCTGTGGAAAGAGACAGTGGAAAAGTTCAGTATCAGTCAGAACAAGGTCAGGGGCTGACTGCAGAACAGACTGTTAATTGCTCATATGCAAGTTCAAATTGAAACTGAAGAAAATTAGAACAAGTCCACGAAAGCGTAAATATGACCTTGAGTATATCCCACCTGAATTAAGTGACCATCTCAAGAATAGATTTGACGCATTGAATGCTAATGACCGAACACACCAGATGAGTTGTGGGGTGACATCAAGGACATCATACATGAAGAGAGCAAAAGGTCATTAAAAAGATAGGAAAGAAAGAAAAAACCAAAATGGATGTCAGAAGAGACTCTGAAAGTTGCTCTGGAACATAGAGTAGCTAAAGCGAATATAAGAAATGATGAAGTAAAAGCTGAACGGAAGATTTCAGAGGGCAGCTCGAGAAGACAAAGTGTTATAATGAAATGTGCAAAGACCTGGAGGTAGAAAACCGAAAGGGAAGAACACACTTAGCATATCTCAAACTGAAAGAACTGAAGAAAAAATTCAAGCGTTGAGTTGCAGTTTTGAAGAATTCCGTGGGCAAAATATTGAACAACGCAAGAAGCATCAAAAGAAGATGGAAAGAATATGCAGAGTCACTGCACCAAAAAGAATTGGTCGACGTTCAGCCGTTTCAGGAGGCAGCATATGATCAAGAACTGATGGCAGTCAAGGAAGAAGTCCAAGCTGCACTGAAGGGAATAGTGAAAAGCAACTTGGAAGTAACAGGAACAACTTGGAATCAGGATCAGGAAGCACACAGGCAGGATCTGGAAGGCTCCCCCAAAGTTGAGAGCACGGCGGTCCCTTCATCTCAGTGCAGGACAGCTTCCAGCCAGGATTGCTCTCCCAGCTGCTTTCTGCCATCAGGCTGCCCTCCCGTCGGCCTCTCACTGCTAGCCGGCTCAGCTGACAGCACAGCCAGTATAGCAGCTTCACAACTGCTCATTTCCCACGTGACTCTGCTTATCTGCCAGCCAACTCTCAGCCAGCATCTCTCTTAGCTGCAGCTTTCTCAGCTAACCAGCCCAGCTCTTAGCCATCAGCCTTCTCAGCTGCACCCCTTTCTGCCAGGCCTGGGAGGGACCTCCGTGTCCTGTCAACCATGAGGCATTTGAAGACCCCTTTATTTCAGCCATTTATATATCCCAGTCCTCATCTGGCCTCCCTCACCAGACCAGAGTTCAACCAATCCTCAGTTACGCATCAGATGTCAGTCAACTCAGGTCTAGTACAAAGGTAACATTTTCTGCCTGCAGAGACCAGGTCCTCCCCTGGGCAAAAGTATCCCTTCTGGGGTGGAAGGCACCCTGGGAGGCCCCCCAAGTTGCTTCTCCAAAGAACTGGGGCAAAGAGAACAACTCCTTAGGAATTGGGGAAAAATCTGCCAAAGTGTTTTTCCAAAGAACCAAGGCAGAAAGGCCACATAAAGGAACCCGTTGCATCCCAGCAGGCAACCTCTGAAAACCAGAAATGGCTAGGGAACTGTCTCTCCTGAAGCCTCCAGAAGGAACACAGCCCTGGCAACACCTTGATTTTAGACTTCTTAATTCCAGAACCCTAAGAGAATAAATGTGTGTTGCTTTAAGCCACTAAATGTGTGGTAATTTGTTACAGCAGCAGTGGTGAACTAATACACATAATGATATTGAAATTCTACAAAGCTTTTCTTGAGCACCTTCTACGTGACAGGCCCCCAAATATTCATCATCATCATCATCAGGTTTCTGTTTTTTTAAAGCCTCCTTACCTCTGTAGGTCTGTTTTAGAGTTAGATCAATCACTGCTTTTTGTTTTGGGTAGCCTCTTCAGTCAGAGGATGCGTTTGGTTGCCAGTGAGTAATAGCAATGAATTGGCCCTGGTAACCGTGAAGGGCAGAGGGTGGGCAGCCGTCACGGCTCTGGCTCCCTTCCCCGTGAGTCTCCTGGCTCTGCTCTTGCCTTTGTCAGCACCCCCGGGCCAGTTTCCCCATCTCAAGGTGGCTACCAGGAACAGCCGGGGCTGTGGACTCTGACCAAACTGCTCTTTATTGAAGTGACAGGAAGAAGCCTGTGTTGGTTCATTTAGGACACTCTGGGACTGGGGCCAGTCACACTCAAACTTCTGGTTACTGTACTCAGTAGGGGGAGGGGAGTTATGATTCCCTATGGAAAACCTGGCCACTGTGAGAAAGGGGAATGGATGTTAATAAAGTCAACTAGCGTTTGCTATACCCAGCAAAAGATACATTGTAGTAGTAGCTAAAAGTGTTATTAATTCATGTAATGCTTAATAAAATCTATAATCTTAATTTTCTTTGTGTACCATCATCAAAAGTTATGAATGTGCCTACTTTTTTACGGGTCGTTCAAAGACATTTCAGAGAAAATCTGCAAGTTCACAGTATTAGGCGATGTGTCTTTCCTTTCTTGCAGCTCGGTACTGCGTTCAGTGCACACGCAGCAGTTTGCGGACCTGCTTCACCTGCCTGTGAGGACTTCTTTCATTCTGGTACTGGATTCTTCACCTTGCTCCACCGTTACGGGGCCTGACCAGCTCGCTAGGCTCTCGCTAAGAAAATGTTCTGTGCTGTCATACTTCCTCATGCAAACGTCTGTTTTTCACTCCCTGATGATTATTTCTGACATTCATCGTTGAAGTATTTGCGACCAGTAGTTAAGTGAACAAAATAAAGATGATTCATATTCCTCATGCTAAGAGATATAGGGTGGACAGTCACACTTCAGAATCTTCAAAACTGACTTGGTGAAGAAAAAAAACAAATACATTTCTTATACAAAAAACTAAGTATAATATTAAGGAGTGTATTCATTATTTTTAGACTGAGGTAGAAATTTTTAGGAAATCAGGTATTTCAGCTTTTATGTATATTCAGTCAATATTAGGTGTCAGTTACCTGACGCATTGCTCAGCAATAATTGGTAAATTTATAGACTAATTCTGTTAAGTGCTATGAGAGACCAGATAAAGGATCCTTAAAACATCGTTAATAGGATTAATGAAACACATTTGTACATTTGCTATGCGATTTTTTTAAAGAAAGTTTTACACAGTTTATCATAAATTGCCCTTAGCAAATAACATTGGCTTTTATAATATACAAATGACACACAGCTGTGGAAACTATAGCTCCTTAAAGAATTTTGCTGATAATTTGGAGCAGTGGCTGCACAGAAGAATCACCTGGAGCTCTGAAAAAATATCCCTCTCGCAGGGATTTTGATTCCTTTTCTCTGGTTGGGTCTAGGTATCTGTGTTTCTCCTAAGCTCTCCCAGGCAGTTCTGATGAGCAGCTGAAGTTGAGAACCGCTAATTTAGAGGGTTTTGAATATCATACAAACAGGGCACATGTTAGTAACCTCAGAAAAACAGATGGAGTTTGTAAGGTACAGGCAAATGGTATGAATGTTGGTAACAAGTTGTCAGCTTGGTCAGATTATTACTGATCTAGTCTAACCAGGCGTGGTGGGGGAGGGACCACGTCTTGGCCACAGCAATCCAGTAGGTAGGAAATGAGTG